ACTTCGCGAAGGAGGGATTGTAGTGCATTTAGTGAATTGGGATAAAGCTCGGCTGTGAACACAAAACAGAGCGTAAGACTGCAACGTTTTGGTGCATCCGTGCTATTTCTAATCCACTCCTTTTACGCTGATGCTAATTATATGTGCGTGGCTTATATTGAGCTGCTGGCCATTTTTTTTGAAAGCTGCCCAAGCGCCAATGCTAATGCCTCGCCTTGTCTTCTAAACTGAATGTATGCACCTCCACGTGTGTTGGCTACCACTCTGAATTGAAATGCATTGGTGCAGCTAGAGAGGAGCTAACACGGCAATGACCCTTCTTTTACGAAAAGCTTAAAGGTACTCCTCCAGTGAGGCATGGGGATATTTTACTCGACACCAGGATTGATGTCCCCGTAGCTCTTTTCAATTTCCCTCTATCTTTGAAGAAAGATTAGTTGTGCATGTGAGGCAATGGATGCATTTTCACTGTTTTGCTTTTATCAATAATAACTCACGTTTCATGCTACGTTAATGGTGTACTTTGCGCTCCAAATCCCCAAAGTTCATATTCTTAAACGTGACTCTTTCAGTCGCATTGAGTGTTGCTGCTCATATGAGTATGTGAGGACTTGTCAGAGCTTGTGCTATACATGAAAAGTGGGTTAATGACGTAATAAACACGCTAATAGCGTCATGAAATTTGGAAACGCTATCACGTGTGCGTGCTTGTTAAAAAATATTGTGTGTGTGTGCCTGCTCTGCCTGCGTCAAAACCAAAGACAGCTGCGTTACCCCAGTGACCTCTCGTGCTCGGTGTTCATGGTACGAAAAATGTACATAATTCTAGAGCGCGTACACAACGGCATGTATGGCATACAGGATAAACGATTCAATTGCAGCCTCCAAGAGAAGCGTGTGCAGTGGAATGCTGAAGGTTTTAAACACCTAACGTGGTTTTGGAAATGTTTGAGCGACCGCAGCAGATCATATAGCTGCGACTCGCGAGACTTCCCGTCATGGAAGCCTTCCGTTATGGCCAAACCAAATAAACACTCATCCATGGTGGTGTTTAAAACTGGGGTCGTTTGGAACGTAACCGTGTAAAGTACGAAGACGAAGGACAAAATATATTGCCCGACTTTTTGTGAACTATGCTGGTAGTATTCCGCTTGTGTGTATTTATCACCAAGTCGAGCCGAGGCACGGGCCGCTTGCTCTGCTGGAGTAAAATAGGACTGCTTGTCATGCCGATGGATCAACCTTCCTTGCACGAAGCCGCAGACCGAGTACAGGAATCGCTTGCCGTCGCGCTTCGTGGGGGTCTTCCAACCGAGGTCATAAAGGCAACTGTCCAGGCGACCCGCCTATGTCTCAGTGAAGCAACCGAAAGAACTGATAGTGTGTCTGCACGGATTTGAGGTGCTTTCTGTGTTCACGTGTTTTGGTTTTTAATGTTATGTTTATTATTGACAATAGGCACATCTTAAAAGATCGAGTTCTGACAATGCCTTTATCCAATATTTGTCTGAACAGAAACGGTTCAGCAGGGAAGGGGGGGGGGGCATAGGGGTCAGTTGTCCGCTGCCTGTTGGCAGGGCTGCAAGAGTATGCTTTTTCCACACCTCTAACTCCCTAAAAATTGGAAGGCTCCTTTTTCCCCAACTGAAGGCATTGTAGTTACACGTAGAGTACCAAAATTCAGATAAAGCAGGCCCATAGCTCAGCTGGAGAGTGGTAAATTGGGCTCAGAAGTCCCTTTGCCACATCAATAGACCCGTTTGCTGGGTCCTGAAGTCACCTTCATGAGTGAGTTAGCCAACACTCTAGATCAGAGCACCCAATGTTGTTTTAAGCACGGCCCTTCGATGGCTCAGGATGTCCCTGTAATAAGTATGGAGACCCCTGTGCGAGTTTAAGAGGCCCCCTCTACATTCAGAATGCCACATTTCCGGAGCAGGAGGCAATTTCATACATAAGATGGCCCCCGTTCCGGATCAGGGTGTCCTGCTCTCGGATAGCAGGGCCCCTTGGCCAGATATGGAATCCTCTTCATGAGCCGTAAGCACGCTGTTATGAATTAGCATGCCCCTCTATGTATCGGGAGACTCTTTTCTGGAACAAGACGCCCTGTATGAGGTCAGCGAGATTCTTTTCTGGGTAATTAGAAGGCCTTCGTTCCCGATTTTTAGCTGTCGACATTTATTTACTTGAATGGATGAAATGAATGAAATGAAACTTGAACAAATATTTACTTGCAAATTTTCATGTGGCAGTCTGGTTAGGGGGCACACGCCCTCAGCGCCTTCTCCCTCGAATACGACAATGTGCAGGACCTTTCCAGTAGGCTCCTGCAAGGAGGCCCCATGTTGTCCAGGAGGTGCCCCTGGAAAATTTTACCCATTCCGCCCAAAATCCGGGTCGCCGCCTCAGTGTCTCAAAGCGTCTTTTGACCACTACTTCCTGGTATTCTGAAGGTCAATTGCTGTCAACATGAGAGCTCTCTCTGACTCATCATGCCTAAAACTGAGGAACGCAAGGCCTTTCATGTTTTTATCTATGCTTCAAATCTCAACTTTATTAACACATTACCAGCTTTCGGGTAATAAATTACTGCGATGTGGGAAAAGATGCAGCGGTTTGTTTGTTTTATCATTTGAGCGAACAACTAAAAATGAGCATGGCTCATTCCAGAAATACAGCACTTTAACGTACATTGTCTACCTTTGATGTTGGATCAGTCATGTAATCCAAAATGCACCCAAAATGTTGAATGCTCAAAATAAGGCAGGAGAAACTTTTTTGCCTTGCTCTATGGCTAACGTTGGTATGCATTACATACATATTAATGAATATATGTGCATATGCATATGTAACTCATCATACATACATGCATATATGTATATATATATATATATATATATATATATATATATATATATATATATATGTATGTATGTATGTATGTTTGAGCTACTGTCCTAGACCTCAAGCGTATCTGACTGTTGAATAGATGTTACCGCACTTGGAACTGTCAAAAATGACAGGGTATGTTTAATGGTGAAATTGGCATTATTTCGTTAGTCCGTTAGATTTAAAAGTTCCAGCCAATAACGACCCACACTCGAGCTTTTCTACGCTTCGTTTGGACGCTTCCGACTGTGTCTCGAGCGCTCCTGTGACGTCATCCGGAACGCAGAGCAGTCGTGCTGTCGGCTTTAGTGTCAGTGATCTGTCATAGTTCACCTTGTGGCGTTTCCAGAAGTGTGGGTCACCCCACTGACTTCGGCTACGGGCTGCGGCGCGTGTCCGGCATGCTGTTCGTGTGTGGCGTTTCATCATGGGCCAGTGGAGGATGTTGCGTGGTTGTTGCCGGATATAGTGATCTCCTGCATGAATCGAGACGGTTAGCGAGTCTCCCGAGCGGGAAGCGAAAACTGCTGCGTCCACCGTCACGAATGCTTGCAGTGCCCGCGAAGCTGACCTTAGCACGGGGCCCGTCTGTCTGGCGTAGAGAACCCGACCACCGGGTACGCCATTCAGTGTTACCTAGGCCATGGTCCACCCGGGAACACTGCTGACAGCGGAGCTCAGTGATCACTTTAGAATTTACGCTGCCCTCTTCCTGGGTGTGGTTTAAACATTGTCTGTCAAACTGTACCCACTTATCTGTTCTGTGACGGTACGCCTTCCTTTCAGGCCAGAATCCAGCTGGAAAATCCAAAGCCGGCAACTCTAAAAGGTAAGCACAGAGTACACCTGTGCCCTGGCTCGCTGCACGCTCCTCATCCACGTAACACGTTCTGACCCCAGTCCCTAGTCTAAAGCTAGACAAGCATTTTAGGGGAACGGACATAGGACTGTTTTGAAAAGGTGGCGCCTGTTCCGATGGTACAGGGGCTCACAAGGGCCACGGGCCGCGGCTGCGCCCCAGCGCCGGCCGGCGTGGGGCGTTGCTGATGTCCCGCCCGCTACACCACTCCCTCACTTCACTGACGCCTGTGATCGACACCGGCGGCTGGCTGACGACAGTCGTCACGCCCCTCACATCAGTACCTCGGTTGTACCCGTCTCTAGAGTCTCTAAGAATTTCCTGAATCCTGGAAACACTCCATTTAATGAAAAATCTCCGACTGAACTCATTATGTCCACAGCACTTTACCAAACGTCGAGCGATCCGTCTGAAACATCCTAGCGAACAATAATGTTGATGTCAGGTCATCACAGAGTAATGACGTCATCAGCGAAGGCCTGTGCGGCCCTTTGTGATGCCATGGTCAGCAACTCAGTCCTGTTTTGTTTCATCTTGTTTGCGATTTAGCTCACGTGATTCATCAAATGATCATCATGTGTGACAGCTGTCCATCACGCGGGATGAGATAACACCAGTCCACCAACAGCAGTCACGTAAGGTCACTCATAAGCGTGTAAAATTATATTTGCGGTCCGTTTTTACACGTAGCTGCAAATGCCATTTTACACAATGCTATTTGTACGGACGGATTCCGGTAACGTTCGTGATAACTCACGGGCACTGAGACTTTGCCAGTCGTATGGCGTACGGCAGCACGATGTTTTCAAGACGGAAATGAACCGCGTCACCGACCGCCGTTGAACACATTCGATCTGACTGGTAGATTATCGGATGTAACAGAACTCTCGACGTCCAGTTGGTTGATGCTTGTGAAATACACCATAAGTGTAGCGAGGTTAGTAAGCGGCCGTTAAGATACACCGTCAGCCGGGTTAAGAAGTGGCCCAGCCGTTGTAGTGATGCACTGCATAGCGGCATATGCACTGCACGCACAGTGGACACATAAGCTACGACGCGCATGCAAGGAGTGGCTGGGCTGTGTAACCACTGTTGTTTTATCTGGTCTGTGTGGATTGCTTATGTTCACTGTCGCGACACCTGCTAGGACCTCGTTTGAAGGGGCAGACATAGCAGCAAACCAATGGACTGTTCCAGGGATGGCTTTGAGCTGGACATCGCCCCTCAGGGTCAGGGCACCAAGGAGGTCATGTTGTTCTGGGTCCAGTGCCGGCTGAGGGACTACAAGGTGAGCCAGCACACAGAGCAGATTGTCTTGCTCTCCGTCCAGCGCCTGTTGGGGAACTAAACTTTGTTTAGGACACCAATAAGGCCCACGTTTTGTGTTCCCAGTTTCTGCTCGAGAGGCTTCAAGGGGACGCACTTGATCCATAAGCGTTCAAACGGCACGCATCCAAGTTGCTTAAGTGTTGTTGTTGCGAAGCCTTTCCGTAGTCGCTTTCATGTTCTTTTCAAGAACTCTCGATGCGATGTCTCTATGTCTCAATGCTATGTTGCCTGCACATTTCAACTTAGGTTTGCATGGGATTGCCTTTCTTGACCTGCATCACAAGCATCGTACAAAGCTTTTCGACGCTCAGGTTTCACCGTGCAGAAGGAGACGCATAGAAACGGACCTTCAACGCTTCTGCATCCTTTCACTTACGGACCGTGTGAATTTTCCAGACAGTGAAGGTAGAGAACTTCTCCACCAGCTGGAGCGATGGCATCGCGTTCTGCGCGCTCATTCATCACTTCTTCCCGGACGCCTTCGACTTCAGCAAGCTGGATCCTAGAAATCGGCGCTACAACTTCGACTTGGCCTTCAGAACCGCCGAGTGAGTCAAACCCGCCGAACGTTGCTATAACCGCTATACCGCTCGACGCGCGCCGCTCGCACAATTGCCTTTCAGGCCCTCAAATTTGTACAACAGCAAGTGATTCCTAAACGTGGTAGATAACCTCTGTATGGCGTCCCAGCAGAGCACAAAATCCCGCGTCTGGAATGCTCTGTAAAGAAAAATTAGCGTGGTATATGACCATTTTTACCCTTATTTTTTATTGATTCCTTGCCACCGACGCAAAGCTTTTAGCTCACGTACTGAGTGAAGTGACTTGTGTGTGTGCGACCGAGGATGCTCATGAACCTTGTTTAAAGATATCGTGACCCATCATGGCGTGCCGTGACAATGCCTCTGTTGACCGGTCAGCGAGAGAGCCGGCATCTTCCCTCTGTTGGAGCCCGACGACATGGTGGCCATGGAGAAGCCCGACTGGAAGAGCGTCTTCGCCTACATCCAGTCCATCTACAGCGTGCTGAAGTGAGGGGGCCCCGCCGCGCCACCGCCCGATGGCAGCGGCGGTCCGCTGGCAGCCCTGCCCTCTGAATAGTCCCGTTCCGACGAGTGCCCGCCTGCGAGTGTGACAGAGAAGCCAAGCTGAGACGAAGCCGTCGTTAGCCGCGCCCAGTGCTGTGAAACTGCCCCTGAAGCTGCCATCGCTCCTGCTCCCAGCGGTGGGTGACGGTGGCGCATATGACCCGCTTCTTGACCGTGATGCTGCTTCGCTGATGCAGTACCTCCAGAGTAAGAACAGCATGCGTGCCCCAAGCGTGCCGTTCTTTCGCACCGTGTACAAAGTTGTTGGACGCGCGAAAGACGCATATGTGGATGGAAGCTCTCGATGTATGTTTGCTTTAACTAACGTCGCTACCCGAACGTGGCTGCAGCCGGAGGTGGAACTTCCTTTAACTTATTGCTATGGGTATCCACAGTGCTATAACAGTGTTTTACGTCATTTTATCCCACACAACGGTCCTAAATCCCTTGCTAAAGCCAACAGACGTGGAGGTACACAAGCCCGTCCATGGCACAGCGAGCCCCACACACGACTCCGGTACACACAAGCGGCCAAGGAGGCCGGCGAGAGCGGTCAGGGAGGCCGGCGAGAGCGGTCTGTGGTGCCGGTGCCGCGGCGGCCACACATATTCACGGAGATAGGCGCAGCTGTCGCCCGCAGCTGGCGCAGAGCTCCCGCCAGCTGTGGTGTGCTCGTCGGACCGCCGACGGCCGCGTCGTTCCGCCAGCATCTGCCTACTCCGCATCACCCGAGGACTGCGTCGATCCGCGCGATCCCATAGCTGGGATCTGCTGATCTGCCGGGTACCGTCCAGGAGGCGACGCCACAGGCTGTCGGTTCATTCACTAAATGCTCTCGGGTTATGTGGTGGTAGGTATGCTTGAGTACTTCGGGAAATTGGCATAAATTCACGAAAGGGTCTGCTGCATATCGCCCGAATTTCTGCCGCATCCAGCTTGTCATATGAATGGCTGCCTCGCTTTTATAACCAATCAATAAATGGCCAGCTGAGTACGGTGCTTTGGGAACGCTGAACGTGCGAAGGATCCCGAGAAATTGCAATGGGTCAGACAACACGCATATCATTGTTTGGTTTTCGTTCTAGGTACTTAGGTATGCACGGTATACAAACCAGTGATGCACACCCGTTGCTGCGCCAGTGTGCATACAACTGCGGGTCACTTGCCGACAAAGCAGCTGCAGGCCAAGTCCTCCGGAACGAGCGGCTCTTATCTTACCTTAATTTATGTTATCGCTCTTAACTTATCGCCCAATAACCGCATGACATCATTTTGCAACCATCATCGAATGGCTGCCTAGCTATGCTGACAGAGGCGTGAAAGCGTATACTGATGCCTTCTGAGGTCGAGGTACCACGCGATCACATCAGCGAACGCGTATGCTGCAGCATGCCTTTTAGCCTAACTGAGAATGAGCAACAGCAGTCGGCAAAGTTCTGGATGTCAACTCCTGAACAAGCTTGTAAGGTTATGGGGAACTCCTCTAACATGGTATTTTATTAATTGATTTTGTTAAACTTGCTATCCACACAGGCGTCCAATTGAGCATATATTTGGCATGAACGTGCTAAAGGGCTGGCACAGCGGGTATGTTGGAATACATCACTCGACAACACGGTAGTACGGAAGAGCACTTGGGCCCACATAACGGACATGATGGAAATGTGTAGGGAGGCGTGATAATAGCTGGTGTGTTTATGGGGCATGATGAATTGAAACAGTAGTGTGTCATGATAATACTTTTACAGGTGAAGCGATGTAAATGACAAGCCGGTATCGTATCACATAATTTGTCGCTCGCACGACGTCAAGCTGCGAGAAGCTGGCTGTTCCTTCTAACTCACCGAGTCAGGTGTCTAATTTCTTGATCGCCGCAAATGCGATACCGCACACTCTCCACTGCATTCCCAGACATGAATGAAATACAATAAATAAGCCGCAAAGTTCACTATATTTCGGCGCGTGTGTCCTGTTCAGGCGAGTTTTAAATTTATATAATGTGTTGAATCATAAGATATAATTTCAAGCGGCGAACCCGGAGCGTGGGATGTTTATGGGGACACTTCGTGCAAAAGTTATTTATACCAACGCATTCGAACAGATTGGACCATCTTAGTCTCGCAAACATTTTACACATTGCGAAAAAGGACACTCGATGACAATAATGGGACAAACAGATGGTTGATCCGACCGCAAATGGTTCGAAACATCACAGGCTTTAAATACCGTACGTTTCGCAGAAAAGGTGGTTTCCATGTTGGTGGCAAGGCAAACATTTCCAACACCCTTCTAAGCAGACTAGGCTATGGCAGCATGCAAAATATCGAGTGTAAGTCCACTGGTAGCACTGATGGCCTTTAGATACCAGCGCGATAATAGAGCAATAGCCAGCAGGATGTAGCCAGGTCTACAGCCGGTGAGGGGAAGGAAGGTGAGGTCTGAAGCTGTAGCTAGCATCTGACAGCAGGGGTCAAGCGCTGCACAATCGTTTCTGAGTCGATTCAGCAAACTCGCAGCCCGGAACATTTGCGTTTCTGATGTACAGCCGGTGGAGATACGAAGGCGAAATATGCATTAATTCATACTCCAAGGACCTTAATAGGTCAGGCAACTAAGACCCAGCACCTACTCGCCACCTCATATCATGCAGGCATAACAAGCATAAACAGGCGAATTCGGAGAGGCATCCAGGATAACTGTTAATGTGAGATTTCAAAGGAAGAATGTCAGTGTGGAAAAAACATTATATAATCGTTCAACGTGATCAGGAACGGTATCAGTGGAGGGGAAACGACGAGGGAGAGCCGCATCTCTAGAGGGTTAACACCAACCATGCGGAGATACATGGAAAGACGTTATGTCACAATTGGGCTTGCCCTCCCATCTCTTCCGAAAATCCGCCGTTGTTGGCTGCTAGAAGTCCCTCATGTCACACCGACGCCTGCTTCCAAACGAACTTTGAGTGCCTTGCTTCCAGTTTCTGAATGCTGTCAGGTGCTCGGGTGAATATGAGCAGCTGCCAACTGGTTCCCGAGGCCGTGCTACGCCGCTGCTGACAACGGCCACCGGGGCCTCGTCCATTATCACCGCACAGCGAAACACCTCGTCAGCTGTCCTCCCGGTCCAACGCCATCCACGCCTGCACCCTCCACGTCAGCTACCCGTCATCGAAGCGCGCATGTCGCCGCCATCGCCACCGGCGGCCACCACCTGCCATACCGCATCCTAGCCGAGGCCGTAGTAGGTCCAATAGATAACATTGAAGGTGATGAACGCGAATGGCATGAGCACGCGGCACACCCTGTCCACGACTTTGGCTTGCGCCACGTGGGTCTGCTTCTTGGCGCCGGTCTGCCCTGGCTCTGGGTCGTCGCTGGAGAAGAACATCTCCTTGACGCTCTTGCGTTGGCGACCGGGGAACTTGCGCTTCTTGGCCAGGTGGTGCACCAGCACGAACTCCAGGAGAGCGCCGAACACGAAAAACATGCACACGCCGATCCACACATCGATCGCCTGGGGGCAGAGCACACATCGTTAGGCCCGATGGCAGCCACCCACCACTGCTCAGGCGCAGTCCCTATGGGGCGAGGCTTCACCGTTAGGCCCGAGGGCAGTCACCACTGTTCGGACGCGGTCACCTGTGAGGCAAGGACGTCGTCGTTAGGCCCGAAAGCAGTCACCACTGCTCGGGCGCAGTCACCTGGCAGGCAAGGACGTCGTCGTTAGGCCCGAAGGCAGTCACCACTGCTCGGGCGCAGTCACCTGTGAGGCAAGGACGTCACCGTTAGGCCCAAAGGCAGCCATCACTGCTCGGACGCGGTCACCTGTGAGGCAAGGACGTCGTCGTTAGGCCCGAAAGCAGTCACCACTGCTCGGGCGCAGTCACCTGGCAGGCAAGGACGTCGTCGTTAGGCCCGAAGGCAGTCACCACTGCTCGGGCGCAGTCACCTGTGAGGCAAGGACGTCACCGTTAGGCCCAAAGGCAGCCATCACTGCTCGGACGCGGTCACCTGTGGGGCAAGGACGTCGTCGTTAGGCCCGAAGGCAGTCACCACTGTTCGGACGCGGTCACCTGTGAGGCAAGGACGTCGTCGTTAAGCCCGAAAGCAGTCACCACTGCTCGGGCGCAGTCACCTGGCAGGCAAGGACGTCGTCGTTAGGCCCGAAGGCAGCCATCACCGCTCGGGCGCGGTCACCTGTGAGGCAAGGACGTCACCGTTAGGCCCGAAGGCAGCCATCACCGCTCGGGCGCGGTCACCTGTGAGGCAAGGACGTCACCGTTAGGCCCGAAGGCAGCCATCACCGCTCGGGCGCGGTCACCTGTGGGGCAAGGACGTCACCGTTAGGCCCGAAGGCAGCCATCACCGCTCGGGCGCGGTCACCTGTGGGGCAAGGACGTCACCGTTAGGCCCGAAGGCAGCCATCACCGCTCGGGCGCGGTCACCTGTGAGGCAAGGACGTCACCGTTAGGCCCGAAGGCAGCCATCACCGCTCGGGCGCGGTCACCTGTGAGGCAAGGACGTCACCGTTAGGCCCGAAGGCAGCCATCACCGCTCGGGCGCGGTCACCTGTGGGGCAAGGACGTCACCGTTAGGCCCGAGGACAGCCACCACTGGTTGGGGGCGGTCGCCTGTGAGGAGGGGAGACCGTTGCTGTGACTAATGAGAGCTCCTTAGAACGCAAAAACGTCCACCAATGACGACCGGACTCTGGACAGCAAAAGCGCGCATCGTTCTGACTCGGGACAGTCCTGTCATTGCCCTGCATATATGATACGGAAATGATGCCTGCGATCCGGCGGAGCTGAAAAGCCAATCCATGCATATATGCAATGCAGCATTTGTGGCTGCTGATGACCGATAAGTCAGAAACTTGAATATAAGGTTCACGATAAATCAGCACAGTGGTCAGAATCGGCAACGACCCACGGTCGAAAAAGGCAGCATTCGCCGCACGGAACAGACATAGGGCGTTCTTTTACCATGACAAAGTCTGATGAACTGGTGCATGTATACATGAACGCACACCTGCTTATCGAGCATTTGAAGAAGGGATCTTCCCCTCTTCCAAAGGAGGACACATTCTATCAACACCGACGCTGAAAGGGGAAACAGCAGGGACGGAATGGCTAAGCTAA